CTCTCTCTCTCTCTCTCTCTCTCTCTCTCTCTCTCTCTTTGTCCTTATTTCTTTATTGTCCTTTCTCCTTGTTCCCTCTCCAGGAAACTGAGTGCTCACCATGTGCCAGTTAATGCTTTACATTTGCTAGCTCCTGTAACTTCGCGGTAGTTCCGTGGGGCATTTGCTTTTATCCCTAGTTTTCAGATAAGGAAACAAGCACAGAGAGGTTAGAAAATGAGAGCCAGTAGAAGCCAGAGCATTTTGGTCAGGTGGGTGGCGGAGGTATCTGAACAAGACACAGGACCTGCCTCTTGTCCATTTGGGGTAAGAGTGGCGTGTGGTAACAGTATGATGATGATTTCCTTCTTTGAGGACTGTATCTAGAACTCATGTTCAAACAGTGTGCTGGAAGTGCTTGGCACAGAGTTAGATGCATTCTAGGTGCCTGATCTGTTAAATAATGTTGTTAATCAGAGATTTGACCTGAGCAGAGAGACAGGTGAATTGGCAGCCTGAAGAATAGAGCTTGGAGTCTGGGGAAGATGAGGAGCCCAATGCCAGGTGAGAGGCAAAGCACCACAAGGCAGAGTCCTAAGTGATTATGCCACATGGAAGAAGTCACAGGGCCAGCAGTTGTGATTTTGTCTGAAATGATTAGAAGAGGGAAATCTTTAGAGGTAGAAAGTACATTGGTGGTGTCTGGGAAACAAGAATGGGGAGTGACTGCTGATGGAAACAGCACTTTCCCTCCAGGGAATGAAATGTCTCGAAATTAGATTGGTGGTGATGGTTGCATACTTTCTATAGATACTAACTGCCATGGAATTATACACTTTAGTAACATGTGTTTTACTACACAAAAGCAAAAATCAGCAATTAAAAAAACAAAACAAAACTCCACATGTTGGTGCCAGGCAGATGGCTGAGTAGAATAAGCACTTCCCTGGCAAGCACAAGGGCCTGAGTTCAATTCCTGGTTCTGCAAAAAAACAAGCAAACAAACAAACAAAACTCCACATGTAAGCTGAGACATAAGGGTTGCAAGTTTAAGGCCAGCCTAGAATATACAGCCAGATCAAACAACAAAACCATGATTGGGCTGGGGTTATAGCTCAGTGGCAGAGTACTACCTCTTACCTCACAAGTACAAGGCCCTGGGCTTGATCTCTGGCACTATAACAAGAAAAAGGAAAAAAAAAAAAAAAAACAAACACCGCAAAACTATAACTATGTACTGTCTACAAGAGAGACATGTTAGATCAAAAGGCACAAAAAAGTTGAAAGGACAGAAGATGATGCTTCATAAAAGCAGGAGCAGAGCAGATCTGGGAGCTGTACCAACATCTGAGAGAGCAGGCTTCAAAGCAGACAAGACTGCAGGGGTGGCCAGAGGCCTTGAGGCAGGAGGGGCAGACACAGGCATCTGCGATGCTGCCCCAGAGGACAGCCTTCCCGTGCCTTGAGGGATGGAGGCTTCTAGAATTCTCAGATGTCTCAAGCAGCTGAACACGATCCTCTCCTTGTCTTACAAAAAGGCTCAAGGATAGGTTTGGACTGGTTGTGCAGATGTCAGAGGACTGTTTGTGCAGATAAGGAGTGTCCCCACAGTTAGAGAATGTTGCTTGGTCCCAGACTGAGGTTTCCCAGAGATACCACAATAACCCCATTGAAAGGGTTGCCATGGTAGCGATTATAGAATGTTGCATGCTGCTTGGCCAAGTGTCTGCACCCACGAGCCAATGAGGCTGACAGACCAAGTGCTGTGTAAATAATGGGGGTTGCCTCAACTTTACCCCTATCCACCTTTCTCAGTATTGCCTGGGTTAGTGTTCTTTTTTACCATTTTAGAAACCCCCTTAGTGGGTACAGACTAAGTATGGAGAATCCGAAGACAGTTTGCCTCAAACTCACCCCAGACCAGAAGAATGGTGCTTGGGAAACCAGGACAGACATCAATGGGTGTTTTGCCCCTGTGTGAGCAAAAGGCCTGGGAAAAGCCTCCAGTGTGACCCAAGAGCTAGAGTCATGAGTTGTATGCATACTGCCAGATGTAGGGGTTTGCACCCCACAAGTCATTATTAAACAGAGTTGGGTCTCAGGGCTTCTCAACCTGACCACTGTTGACATCTTGGGTCAGACAATTCTTTATGGCTTGGGGATGCCCTGTGCCTTGTAGCATGCTAAGTGGCATCCTGGCCCCTATCCAGTGGATAGCCGGAGTACTCCCTAATCGAGACAGCCAACAATGTCTTCAAACAATGCAAGTTGCCTACTTTTCCCAGATGGACTGCTGAATTAATAAACCTGGCCTCCCATTTCACATGCCATATTACAGAGCCATCCTGAGAATTCAGAAACCAGAGGCAGATTGTGTATCCAACGGTCACGTTCAGTGTCTCTCTGGGCACCAGTTCCCCCTAGCGAGAGTTTTCAAAATTGCAGAATTCCTGATCCCTCCCTGACTCCCCCAGCTTCAGAACCTCTGCGTCAGCTGCCTTTCCAGGTGTATGTCCCCGTGGTTGGTTGAGGCCTTGGTGTTCTCATTGGTAATGACAACCCTGGCAGCCAGTATCACAGGAGAAAACGAAG